TTTTAGTAGAGACGGGGTTTCACCGTGTTAGCCAGGATGGTCTTGGTCTCCCAACCTCGTGATCCGCCCGTCTCGGCCTCCCAAAGTGCTGGGATTACAGGCTTGAGCCACCGCGCCCGGCCAAATTTCAAGTACAGTACTATTACCTATAGTCGCCATGCTTATATATCAGAGGTCCAGAACTCACTCATCTTGTATCATGGAAACTTTGTATCTCCTCACTTCCCCATCCTCCTAATCCCTGGTAACCACCATTCTTCTCTGGATGACTTCGACTACTTTAGATTTCACATAAAAATGTGATCATACAATTTTTGTCTTTCTGTGTCTGGCTTTTTTCAATCAGCACAATGCACTCCAGGACCATCCATGTTGTCAAAAATTAAAAGAAATTTAAAAGAACATCAATTATTTATGTTGCCCCACATTCAAGTGGTAAGAAACAGACATACCTGCGTTTACTGGGAATCACTCCAACCTCATCACTCTCACCGTCTGGTGTAACCTGCCTGGCTTGCCACCATTCATCATCAGAAGCATTAATAACATGGAGGATATCTCCAAATTTGAAGTTCAATCCCTGACTGGGAAGGCCACTGTCTTTAGTCTTGTCATAATCAAAAAGGGCTCTAGAGTCAGAAGAAAAAAAGTCCATAATTACTTGTTATAATGATATTAATCAACTTTTCATGGGGTTCTGAAAGTATATTTAATTTGGATAATTAAATGTATCATAGTAGGCCAAATAACACCCAGTTCAATTCAGCACTACATATAAGATGAGACAAAAAAGAAATAGTAAAATCAACTTGTTACGAAAATACTGTATTGTATTATCTGTGTCTTTCAATATCACAAGAAAAATTCTAAAAACGCTCTTGGCTTGTAATCCAATGGCAAGCTATATTGAATTCTAAAATAAAGACCAATCCAGAGAGTTTGAAATTAATAAACAAAAATTATTAAGATACATTCTTCTCTTTACTTTCATTAGATACATGTAGGAAAACAAATTCCCTGATAAATTAGATTTATTAGTTGTGGACTGTAAGACTAGATCAACATAGTGATTATTCTGCCAGTTAATTACTCCTTCCATTTGTTCACAATACTAGAGTTGATAGGGTTTTCAGAGTCAGTAACAATATGAACATTAATTACAGATGACTTCATCAGCTGCCAAATACTTTGGAAAAAGTAATACTTTAATACGGTAATTGCAAAGTTAAGAATATTTTAAAATTTGATAAAAAGAAAATATTGTGTCCTACCACTTGATTATGTACAATATTTAGATAAATCAAATTCTTAAGTCCAAATAAGCTCTCTCAAGAGTGTAAGAAAGAAAGGATCACAGCAATTACATTTATAACATAGTTTATTCATTCTTTTGTTCTAATTTGGCAACTGGAAATTAGGATGAAAATCATAATCTTTTTCACACTATCCAACATTTAAGAACCTATCTCTTCAAGTAAAACTCAAGAGGGGTGGAATTACTTGACAGCTAAATAAATAAACTAGTAGTTAATGGTTTTTCAAATGAGTTCTTTCAAGTCTTTTCGTGGGGCTAAAGGTGTTAGGGAAGCAGGGGGAATCGTAAGTAGGAAGGCTCACTTAAACCCACTTTCAAACACAGAGAAGATGAGGGGACAAATAAGCATAATATAAAATAGAAAATAAAGTGCCTTAAGAGGTAATACAAATGTCAAGACATTCAGAAAAGGAAAATATTAACTTCCTACATTATTATAAAAATTCACCTTTTGAATCACAAAATCTAACTGTATTATTGAACAACAAAGGAAAAGAAATCACCCACAATCTCTACTTATGTTAGCAGTTTAACATTCTCTTTTAATATATTTGATTCATAAAAAAAGAAGCCCATGGAATACATGTGAGTTATTAACCATAAGAGTGCAATGAACATCTGTTCACCTACTATCCAACCTAAGACTACACACGAAACCTTCATCAGTAATTCACATTCACCTGCACATACTCCCTCTGTCCTGATTCCCCTGGAGCAAGAGTTCCCCACTATTAGATTTAACTATCATTCTTCATATGTTTGTTTCTTTGACTCACTCTTTTTTGGTTGGTTTGATCATATAACACGTGAGTGACTAAACAATATAATGTATGTTTTGCTTGTTTCAGAGCTTTATAAAGAGGTTACTGTAGGTAGTTTTTTGTAGCCTGTTTTTTTTTTTTTTGGCTTTTCAAATTAAAAATACATTGACTAAAAAAACCCACAAGACTCAGGTGTGGTGGTGTGTGCCTGCAGTCCCAGCAACTTGTGACGCTAAGGTGTGAGGATCCCTTAAGCCCAGGAGTCCAAGACAAGCTTGGCCAACAGAGCAAGACCCCATCTCAAAAAGAACCACAAGGCTTCTGATTAACTATAGCAGACTGCGTCTATTTCTTCTCCATCCTGACTCATTAAAATGACAATAAAATAAGAAAAATACAAGAGAGAGAAGAAAACAGGGGAAGAGAGATTTTAACACATTTTTGGATGATACTAATTAAATTTAGCAGAATGAAAGAAGCTATAAATGGAGTGTCAGCAGACAGGGTTATAGAAACAAGTTTTATTCCACAAGAATTCTGGAGATGGTCATAAATTAGAAGTGTACAGTAGTACCAAGGTAGGCAGGGATAAGTTACTGTACTAAAAACAGAAGGTAGAAACACTGTATGTAGCACTTACACCACCCCCACCAAAGTTCCTTTTCCCCAAACCCACAGAAGACTAGAGGTTGAGTCTCCAGAGAAACTGAATTTGAGGAGCTGTATACTCTGAAACTTGGTGGAGAAGGGGGAAGATGGCTGGGCTGAAATGGATGAAAATGAAATTCTAGCAACTTGGTTTATACTATTGGCAGGAGACAGGGATTCTTCTCTAGAGATATTTAATTATACCAAAGAACAGAATGACGTGGGACAGCAGAGGAAATGTAAGAGCCAATTTATTCCTCCCTTTACCCCATTGTCTTCTAGTTAAATCCATTATCTTCATTTCTCTATTCATAAGAATGGAAAACAATGAAAGGAACACTGGCTATTTAAAGAATGCCTTATATAAAACACTACAGAAAAAAACCCCAAGAAAATAGGCTAGAAAAAAGGAATACAGAGAAAGCAAAGAATACACAAAGCCGAAGAAAATCTCAGACACATGAGATTATGTCCACGAAAGAAATGGAAGATGAGTGAGCTCCTGGAAAATAAAACAGGGTATCATTCCCTCCCCCAACATTCCAAATTCTCTATTGGGGAGAAGGCAAGATAAGGTCATTTCGGACATGCTAAGACTCAAAAGGTACCTCCCACACATCTTTTCGCAGGAATTTACTGGAGGATGTGCTCTAGGAAGATTAATTCAGAAAGAAGAAAACGTGGCATCTAGGAAACGTGACATCGTAGACAGTCAAAGGGAACAGAATAATGGCAAAGGGAAGTCCCAGCTGAGAGCTATACAGCAAGTTTACAGAGGAATTAGTCTAGACTGGAGCATAAAGATGGGAAAAACCTGAACTATCAGACCGTATGTGTGACTATGTTTTTGTAATGTGAAAAGCTCTACAGTGGTTACTGGAAGATACAGAAAGATAGTTAGTAATAAGTATATGAAAAATTGATCAAATAAAATGCAAGACAATTATTAAGCCCAGGAAAAATGAAGGGGTGCAGAAGAAAGGAGGCAGCTCATAGGGTTCCACTTGACTGAGTCATGACAGCTATTACATAGTCACATGACTCTAAATGCTATTAGTTTTATTAACAGAGATAGCTATGTTTGGGTGATGGTGATGAGACTGAATGAGTGGTTTGGTACTACGGAGAAAAGTTCTCATCTACCATGGTTTTAAGACTAACGTACAAAACTGGTAAAATAGAAGATAGCAGTATATGTATGTTATTTAGAAATATAGACGTGAAGGCTTCATATTTAGAAGTAAGGAGATGAAGGAAGTTTGCTAGGAAAATGGAGGATGCTTGTTCCTGGAGAATGAAACTAGGGGTTGGTGCAAGTGACAGTTATTTTTCATTATAAGTCTTTTGATAATATATGATTTTAAAAAACAGAAGCTGGGTACAGTGGCTCATGCCTGTAATCCCAGCACTTTGGGAGGCCAAGGTGGGTGAGGCCCTTAAGTTCAGGAGTTCGAGACCAGCCTGGCCAACATGGTGAAATCCTATCTCTACTAAAAACACAAAAATTAGCTGGGTATGGTGGCACGTGCCTACAGTCCCAGCTACTTGGGGGGCTGAGGCAGGAGGATCGCTTGAACCCGGGAGGTTGAGGCTACAGTGAGCTGAGATTGTGCCACTGCACTCCAGCCTGGGTGACAAAGTGAGACTCTGTCTTAAAAAAGAAAGAAAGAAAAGAGAGCATTACTTCTCTAAAAATAATAAAAAGTGAAGATGACTCACTAAATGTACCGAAAATAAATATAACCTATTATGTCGTGATTTTTATGCCTTTGTAAATATTTAATCAAGTACAAACAAAAGGCAACACCTATTAATTATACTAAAATTAGGAAATGTAGATAAGCAAAAAAAAGAAAAAGAAAATGTAAAAAAGAGAGTAGAAAAATCCATGTTCTATTTTCGATGTATCTGTATATATAATATACTTTTAATAAATTTGGAACACAAGAGTTTAATGAGTATTGTTAGAATTGGCAAAGGGAGAAAAAAATCTGATGATTTAAGATTCCCACATCATTGGTAGGGTTATAAGTAGCAAAGAACTTACAGCAAAAGACAAAACGAATAGAAAGAAGAAAGTGAGAAAAGTTTCCTTTCATGATGTATCAGAGTAAGATTATGTGAAGACAGTAAGTCATATCATACGTAAACAAGCACAGAGTACCTGTTTGTGTGTATAGATATACATGTGTATAGGATACAGGTTTACATATGTAACATCTCTCTCTCATCAGAAGGATAAATGAAACATATTAGGAATGGGTCCCCCAACAGAATCAGGAGGACTGAGATGATCGTTTATAAAGAATGGTTCAATTACTTACAGTGCTAATGTTACAATAACGTATAATAAAGTCATCAGTTAAAGTTCTACCAGAAGTATACAGAATACAAATAAATTCGGATTTCTGTTTTAAGTCTTATAAGCCAACGAAATGAAAAAAAAAACAACCCCAGTTTATATACTAATATCACCTATTTATTAGACCTATGTTGCCATTTAACCTTTATATTATAGGAAAATAACATATTTGCCTTCTCCCAAGTGTTTAAAAAAAATGCATGTAGAAATTTTCCGAATATGTATTATTTACTGAGGCTATTCACATTTTAAATTATAATTTACATATGCTTCCTTTGCTACTATGGAAATTGCCAAGGTAATTAAATGTTACTTGAACGGAAAATATATTAGAAAAGGATATAGGTTAAATCTAAGTGTTAGATATGATATTATCAATCTTGTGGCCGCTACTAACACATCAATCTGAAAACAATTTCTGGTCCACAGAATTTTTTCCTTTATCATATCATTATTACTCAAGGATAACATAACTTTCATTAAAAAAAGTATTAATTCAACAATATTCCAATTCTTGAAAGACACACTGTCAGAGAATCAATAATAAAAAACAACACTGATTTGCAATATATTTTCTTATGGTAAAACTAAATAAGTTATAGTGAAAAATACAAAACAATTTACATTCATAACTAAGAGTTGCCATAATTAGAAGTAAAAAAATTTACCTGACATAGAGGGATCGCTTCTGGCTAGTTCGAAGAGAACCTGACCCTGAACTAATACTACTATTCATCATCTGCTCCCGTAAATCATGTATTTTAGCTTCAAAACGACTGTATTCTGATGGAAGAAAAAGAGAAATAAATTGATGTATTTTCAAAAAATAAGTTATTTGAAGATAACATGTTATATAGGTAAACTGTCCTATAACTGATTAAATGTGGTTAGAACCTTAAAATAGTAATATGCATAAGATTTTGCCCAACACACAAATTTCAAAAAAAAATTATTAATAACCTAAATGTACCATAATTTAGAATTGGCTGAGTTAGAATTTTTCTACATGCTCTTTTAAAGTTTATACCACATTTAGTCAATTAAATGACAATTTCCACGCAGCAGACAGCAGTAATCTTATTACTGTTGAATTTAAGTGTAAATTTTAAAAATCAGGATTTATTCTAATTTTTATATTAAGGAAGAAACCTGTAATAATAATTAATACACTAGAAGCTTTGATTATTGACTTTTTCCCCTTGAGACGATCAGTTCATTTTACATACTTCAATATGGAACTTGTGCAGGGTCAACACTAAAGGGAAAAATATGCCTTAAACAAGTGATAAAATTTATTTTAACTCATTTTATAATTTATAAATTGTCAAAATTCAAAAGACACAAAAGCAATCTGAAGTAACATTCACGAATATTTTTATTAAAAATATTTTTATACCAAAATATGATTTTGAAAACGAACTATTTAAAGCTACATATTAAAAACTACTAAATCTATTAATAACAAAAGTTTAAGCACTTTTTCAAAAATACTGCAGTTACATGGTTATAAACACGTATCTTTTTTTCCCCTCTATTTACAACAAACAAATTGCAGACAACTAGGTTATTTCCAATTTGAGTTTCAAGCCTGTCTTACAGCAAACAACTTCTCTGGGAGTTTGTATAGGTTAAGATGACAGAGTAAGAGTAAGCATGTTTATCGTTGAGTTAGTCTTCCTTTCACCATCATCATCAACTTTATTTTATGGATAATAAGCTCAATTGAAGCAATAATTCATCAAAAAGCTTAGAAACATTTAAAGTTCCACATTAATATCTAACAAAATATTTTACTATCCTTTCAAAATTATAATAAAACACTTAAAAAAAACATAAATAGCCTTAATAGAATGTATCCATCATAATTAAATAATTATCAATCCATGGCAAGTTGTCTTTAGTACATGTAGACACAGCTAAACCACAGATTGATGAATGGAGATAATAAAAATATATCATGAGTTTATACTGGTTTTTCTAATGAAAAATTAGGACCACTGGGTTTATACTCAATCTCTTCTATTTTAGCGTTGTATCTGCTTTCTTGGATATGAGTAATTCTGGTTCTCAAGATAGTGGAGACAGCAGAACAAAAGTACCAGCATAATGACTTACTTGTTTTATCCAATATGACATCTACAACAGTGAATTACACCACCAACACTACTACCATGATATGATTACCGTAAACAGTTAACTATTTCCTGTAGCTTTTAATCCTTAGGCCATAGCTAGAGATGTATGGTTGAATTATTGTTTTCTTTTTTTATTTTCAGAGACAGGGTCCTGCTCTGTTGCCCAGGCTGGACTGCAGTGGTACAATCACAGTTCACTGCAGCCTTGAGCTCCTGGGCTCAAGCAATCCTGCCTCAGCCTTCCGAGTGGCTGAGACCATAGTGCGCACCAACATGCTTGGCTAACTTTTTAAAAATTATTTTTGGTAGAGATGGCATCTTGCTATGCTGTCCAGGCTGCTCTTGAACTCCTGGCCTCAAGCAATCCTCTCGCTCTGGCCTCTCACAGCTCTGGGATCACAGGTGCGAGCCTCTGTACCTGGCCAATTACCATCTCAAAATTACTTGGAATAGTTCCTCCCTGAGTATTACTGTTGCCAAGTGGACACACATTTAGATTCATTTGTACTTTATTTTCAACTTCAATTTGCCTTTTAAAATTTTCATTGTTTTTTTTTTTTTGAGACGGAGTCTCGCTCTGTCGCCCAGGCTGGAGTGCAGTGGCTGGATCTCGGCTCACTGCAAGCTCCGCCTCCCGGGTTCACGCCATTCTCCTGCCTCAGCCTCCCGAGTAGCTGGGACTACAGGCGCCGCCACCTCGCCCGGCTAATTTTTTGTATTTTTTTTTAGTAGAGACAGGGTTTCACCTTGTTAGCCAAGGATGGTCTTGATCCCCTGACCTCGTGATCCGCCCGTCTCGGCCTCCCAAAGTGCTGGGATTACAGGCTTGAGCCACCTCGCCCGGCCTATTGATTTTATAAGTAGGTAAAATAACTCCACACTCAAATCTATAAAACACAGGTATTTAAAAGTCCAGTTTCTATCCCTTTTTCTCATCCTATTCTGTCCTGATCCTTATATGTAAACATGTAAACAATATAAAGATACACACAAACATGCAAATACATTTACATTTATTCCATATTTTTATATCTGTATATATGTGTGTATATATACACACAAACATACATTTCTCTTTTTTCTTTTTCAGAGGGAGTCTCGCTCTGTCTCCAAGTTGCAGTGCAGTGGCGCGATCTCGGCTCACTGCAACCTCTGCCTCCCGGGTTCAAGCGATTCTTCTGCCTCAGCCTCCCGAGGAGCTGGGACTATAGACACACGTCACCACACCCAGCTAATTTTTGTATTTTTAGTAGAGACGGGGTTTCAGCATGTCGGCCAGGATGGTCTCGAACTCCTGACCTCGTGATCCGCCTGCCTTGGCCTCCCAAAGTGCTGAGATTACCCACTGCGCCCAGCCAACATTTCTCTTCTTTCCTCAACAGTAGAATACACATTTCTCTGCTTTGCTTTTTTCACTTAATAGTAAGTATATCTAGGGCCGGGCGCAGTGGCTCAAGCCTGTAATCCCAGCACTTTGGGAGGCCGAGATGGGCGGATCACGAGGTCAGGAGTTCGAGACCATCCTGGCCGACATGCTGAAACCCCGTCTCTACTAAAAATACAAAAATTAGCTGGGCGTGGTGGCTCAAGCCTGTAATCCCAGCACTTTGGGAGGCCGAGACGGGAGGATCACGAGGTCAGGAGATCGAGACCATCCTGGTTAATACGGTGAAACACCGTCTCTACTAAAAAAAATGCAAAAAATTAGCCGGGCGAGGTGGCGGCGCCTGTAGTCCCAGCTACTCGGGAGGCTGAGGCAGGAGAATGGCGTGAACCCGGGAGGCGGAGCTTGCAGTGAGCCGAGATCCAGCCACTGCACTCCAGCCTGGGCGACAGAGCGAGACTCCGTCTCAAAAAAAAAAAAAAATAGTAAGTATATCCAGAAGATAACTGCACAGTATATAAAGATGTCATCCATGTTGTTTTTTTTTTTTTTAATACAGCTATATGCAGTCCTTTGTTTTTAACCTTTACTTCTTTGTTGTACGTATGACTCATATACTTCACAGGGTTAAATTCTGCTTTATTAGCAAGCCTGAAAATTGTCTGTTTTCATGAATTAACTTTTGATGTGACAGAAATTGTTTGTTCTCAGTTCTATTCTTATCATCCTGTCTTATTTATTCAAGCTTTTAACATAAATAAACCAGTAGCAGATTGTATTTTCCAAAGATGCCCGCATCCCATGCTCTTGTACACTGTGACCTTGCCATTTCCCCATCGAGAGGTGGAATCTAATTCCCCTCTCCTGGAATCTGGGCTAGTGCTTTGGGTCATTTGTATGACAAAAAATGTGAAAGTAATCCCGTGTGACTTTCAAGGTCGGATCAGAAGAGGCCATGAAGCTTTTGCCTGGTTCTTCTGTAATGCTCGTTCAGTGGAAGCCAGGTACCATGTAACAAGACTGTTCTAAAACCACCACACTGCAGAGGTCACATGATGGTACTCCGAGCCCAAACTTCCAGCCAGTACCACCAACGCGTAAGACAAGGGGAGCAAAGCCAAACTGGGCCCTCCAAAGCAGCTCATTCGCCACCCAAGTCCCACTAAGTGACCTCAGTTGATGCCAGAAGGAAAACAAGAACCATCCAGCCAGAATCCTGCCTGAATTCCTAACCTACAAAATCTATTAAAAGGTTGTTTTAATCTATTAAGCTTGGGGTAGTATCTTATGAAGCAACAGTAACCGGAGCACAGTCTCACTATATGGTTTGTTCTTTTAAGTGTGTGTGTAAAAATTCAGACTCACTTGTCCTTCTGTTCTAATGGCAAGCTTTGGTTTGGCTTTTGTCTTTTGGTCTCCTCCTACAAGCAATCTTCCCAGATCTGATTGCAAATACTATACTTTTATATCCAGTTAAATACTTTAAAACAATTAGGAAGCTTATTCTGTTTTCATATTATCTGCAAATTCTTCCCTCATTTTGTAATAACTGTACCTTATCAAAATTGTCAGAGTATATAGCTTTTTCGTATTATACACCCTCTTCCTTATAATCATCTTCATTAATGCTAACACCAGTCCTTATGTCAGTATCCCTCCTCCTATCATTTTGGATGTCTGAAGATTGTTCTCTCTCCCCAGGAAGTGTTTATACGAACACTATAACTCTAATTATTTGTTGATACATTTGATTCCAGTCTTTATATGTGAAAGTCTGTTTGATTCAGCTTCTTTCTTTATTGAGTATATTCACTCCACTGTCTTCTATAAACTAAGAACAACAGAATTTTCTTTCTTTTTTTGATGGGGGAGGGAAGTGGAATTCCAGATTTTTTTTCCCTTTAAATTCTAATCATTTTATTATGGCATTTTGGTAAGTAGTTTGAAATAACTTTTTTAATTTTAGAAAAGATTTCTTGCTTGGGCATTTTCTAGCATTGTTTTTGGATTTCTTCCTAGGAGACTCCTATTACAAGCATGTTGAATATTCTTTGCCTACCTTCTATATCTGTCACTTTCAATTCTTTTCTTTCTTTCTTCTTACTAATATCTTTTTAAAGACTAAAGCAATCACCAACTGTTTTTCCTGAACCATTTGATAGCAATTTGCCTCCTTGATGTCTCATCACCCATGAATACTTCAGTGTGTATTTCCTACAGATATTTTCCTATATAACTACAAAACCATCAAAATCAAAGTAACA